CATATAGCAGACCTTATGACAGCTCTGATGAGCTCCAACTCCTGCTGTGACCACAGATAAGCCAAAGAAAAATAGATGAAGTATTGTGTCTCTGCTTTGTCATGTCCCACATTATTTTCACATCTGGATGGGGAAAAATTATTTTTTTTCATGTTTTGTTTTTATTTATTTGTATTTATTTTTTATTGAATATATTACCTTTATCTTTATGTATTATTTTTATTTGCATTTTAGTTTTGTGCACCGTGGATCTAACCAAAGACCCGGGAGTGTCCCTGCAGATTGAGAATCTAAATTCTGACTCCTACTGTGAGATCAGCATCAACTCTGAGGTTAAAGAGAAGATAAATGTGACTGCGGGATCAATAGCCAAACTGTCCTTCCTCGACTGCCCAAATGAAGACATACGCCTGACTGCCAAAAAAGTTATTGGTGAGAGTTCTCATTCCTGATATGTGTTTTCTTATACATGACAGTAGATCTATCTCTGTTTCCTGGGTATAGAAAAGATTAAATCTAAGTTAAATAGTCGATTTAAAGTCTAAAAGGATAGACTGATATTTTGAGAAAAATGTTTATTAGCTTTATTTCTGAGACTTCAAAGAAAAGCTCATCAAGAGTCCTTCTGTTGGTTTAAATAAGAACTTTTGCAACAACAACAAAAAAAGTTTACTATTTAAGTTGTGCTTTATTTGGAAACTTAATATCATGCATCTCACTTCATGCTTTTGAATGACAGACTGCAAGAACACAGAGTCGTGCCCCGTGACTACACTTTCTGTGTCCACAATGGAGCCTTGCCTGCCAATGCCCCTCAACAGCTTCACCTGGGACCTCAACATCCCCGAAACCAAAACGTGGGACCTGGTGTCACCAAAAGGAAGTTTGCGGCAGTCCCTGCCCAGCCAGGAGTGTAAAGAGCCTTTTTCTCTGCACTTGGCAGAAGAAGAGGGTAGCAATTTTGTTGGAAATTTCTGCTTTGATGGCGTAATCCAAAAAATCCAAGTGCACGCCAACATCTCCATCACAGCTCCGGGACAGCAGTTAAGCAGGATGACGGGGTCTTTCCTCAATATCAGCGTCAGCGAGGAGATCACAGGTAAAATGTCAATATGTATTGTTGGGCTCCTGCCTGGGTTTTTTTTTTTTTTCTTTTTTACTAAAAGCCCAGGCGTATTTACTCATTAATTGTATCAGTTATATTATATATCATTTTCCCAATAATGGCTTCATTTATTTGTTGTCTGACTGTTTTAAAACATTGCATTCGTGCTTGGTAAATATAATAGAAGCCAAATTCAACATTTAAAAGGACTCAAAAGTGAGAATGACCTGAATCATGAGCTAATCTGTAAAAAGTGACTAGTTTTATCATCCAGTATGTTCTGTAGTCTTCTGTTGTTTGAGTTTGGTTAAAGAAGTCGTTTTAAAGAATTACCTTAAGATGAAGGAAATTTGAATCAATAATTAGTTAATGAACAAAATAATTTATTTGAGAGACTAAACAACAACATGCTGCAGTACGCGGCTATTGTACTTTAAAATTCCACGCAGAGGCAGTGTTGCACCACAGATGGGTTTTTATTTATTTATTTTCATTTATAAAACACCCAGGATTTAGACTTGATATGAATTCCTTCCCTCTTTCAGAGACCATTATTTACACGGTCAGTCCTGACACGATGTCTCCAACACTGCTGGCGACCCCCAACTGGCCTCAGGGTATGAAATCTTACCGCACCCTAAGCTGGATCGTCACGCTGCCCAACCAGTACAAAGCACAGCTCAATTTTAACGTCACACAGCCTCAATGTAAAGAGGGACACACAGGAATCGATGTGAGGACGATAGAGAACAGAGAGCTGAAACTAAGTATTTCAGAAAATGATCCGTCGGTGGTGGAACAGTTGGTGGGTGAGAGTTTCTATCTCAACATGTCCAACTGTGAACCAGAGACTCGTCAATTTAGTGCACTGACCACAATCAATCTGCAGAGGAAGCAGAGTAAGCAGTTATCACTGTAGCACATTCACATACACAAAACATCTTAGGGGCATAAATCTAATCAGTGTTTGCTTTGTTCCTCCACAGATTTCTTACCCATCGTCCTTGGGATATCAGGAGCTATTTTGTTTTTGCTTCTAGTGCTAGCTGTTGTATGCATTGTCACAAAGTGAGTACACCTGCAGCAAAACACTGGTAGCCTAAAAAATGCCTGAGACTAGGCTGTGTTAGTTAGAAAGAAATCTCTGTCTGTGTGTCTGGTTTTTTGTTTGTTTGTTTGTTTGTTTGTTTCTTTGGCTGCAAACTCCTTCTAGACCATCAGGAGTTGAGCAGCCAAACTTAGCATACAGGTACATCTTCAGCCGCTGAAGGTTCTTATCTACATCAGATTTTACACAGTTATCATGTTGCCTAGAAACCATCTTGCAAAATGGCTAAAAGTACTACTTTTTTTTGCAATTATGCAAAAAACACATCATAAAAGCATTATATCACTTTTATTTCATAACAGTAACATGTCATTTAAATCCACAAAAGCTGAATTATGCATGGCCATCCTGTTGCCTGGCAACCACCAAGCAATTGTCTAAAATGGCTAAATTTTTTCTTTTGCATAAACCACATCCACTACCCCAATTTTTTTGTTCTACTTTTTCTCATTGTGATTAAATTTATCAGTAACGATGTACTTAATCTCAGAGTAGATACTGAGCCATACTTAAAATTACCTAGTTTTTCATCCTTTTTTATCTACTTTATATTTTCTTTATATATTTTTTAAAGTTGTTTTTGCCCAAATTGGAACACAAACCATTTTTAATACCAACTTTTATTTTTGCAGTCATGACATATTAGTGTAAAATAAATATGAACAATGCAGCTGCTGTAAGATAAACCATTGATTTGCTGTTTCTGCTGATATATACACACAGTTAAGTCCAAAGTATATGGACACATTTTATAATTTTGCCTCTGTGCAAAACCAGTGAATTTAAGTTTAAACAAACAAACAAAAAAATTTACAGACATTTTTATGCATAGTCTCTCATAGTGGCATTATTAGACCATAAACCTTTGGTTTGTCTTCATCTTTTCAAACAGGAAAAAGAAAAATCAAAAAAGGAACAGGGGATCGTCCATATACATGCCCAAAGGGAATATCTTCCGGCCATCTGACATGCACTTCACCAAAACCAGATCTGAAAATGAATCTCACGTCTATGACTCCATAGATGAAACGATGGTCTATGGCCATCTGCTGAGTAACTCCAGCCATGGCGAGGCGTTTCCAGACCAGTATAACGGCATTCAGACAGACACCTACCGCACTTTCACAGGCCCCGCTGATGGAGCGCTGCCTGTCATTAAAGAACCAGATCCACAGCCCGGGGACAAAATGTTTATGGATCCCTCTGAGACTTTCATACCATCCCGTCCACGTACTCCCATCAACCGACAGGACAGCCTCGGCTTCCAGGACCGCAGGATGATTGACAATGAGCTATACACATTCAAGACCACAGGGGACATAAACACCATCCGACTCTCTGCTGCTGATATGGAGCCCATACCGGATGACTATTTGTAGTGTGTCAGGACCACAGCCATCCAATGAACTGCTATTACAAAATCCTCCTTACAGCACCAAGTATCTGCCAAGGGGTACTCATGCACGTGTCTGTGCTGTGACTATACTCATGTCTAAGCGGTATTTGGTAGAACTCGGTCTGCTCTAGAGATCCAAGAGTGAAAGCAGTGAGGCCTGTTTTTAAAAGTCTGGAAAATAACGTCCCTGGGATACAAAGAGTGCATGTACAAAAGCTTTTCCTTTATGCTTGTGCAACGTTTCATAACATTGTGGTCTCACTAATGGCTCAGACATAAGGAACACATCTGGCTCGACCCATCGCAGCTCTAGACAAATGCAGTTAGTAGAGAAAAGCAAAAAGTATACTTAATGCAGTGTTGAGGCAGCCATGAACCTCAGTGTGAAAGCACACGATTGGCTCATGTAGTTCCAACATGAGCTGTTGATTGGTTCTTTTTTTTTTTTTTTAGCTGCTTTATGTAATTGTCCCATAGCTTTTTATTAAGGATCCTTGATCCCAGAGATATGGCTCACAATCTTTTCATCTTACTCCCAGACAGAAAAAGCAGCAACTACTATTTCTTGAATGTTTGTTTGGGTTTTTTTTATTTTAAACTTGTTTAAAGTATGGAAAATGGAAAATTATCCGTTATTGTTGTTTGTAAATGTTTTTTATCTTGTTGACTAGTATTTTTTTTATTTTATTTTTTTAAGATTTGCCTTTTCTTAGCCTGTACATACCAGAATTGTTTTGTTTTTGTTTTGACTTGCAATAAATTGTCAGTGTATGATGGGGAAGCGGTGTAGCCTTACGTGACCTTACGGCCATCATTACCTCATCTGAAGTGATGTTTCATTTTCCCTCTTGTGCTTAAACATGGGCTTCTTTGCATGCTGGACACTAAAAAAAAGCTGTTTCAGCCGCAGGAACTCCAACTATTAAAAACAGTGTGAGGAGGAGGAGGGTGTGGAAGAACCGCTGAAGATTCGCAGCTACTGTTTACCAAGGAGCATAGCGGAAATAACAAATGCAGAGGCCAGGTTTATGTGACATTTCTAAACTGCAGACGATTTTTAAATAAAGTCTCCACGTCTTCTGACTTGCAAGTTTTGTAGAATTAATCTTCAAATTTTTTTTGTGGAAAGCAAATTTCTGAAAAACAGGAAAAAGCAAAACAGGGATAGACATTGTAGTTTATTGATGGTAATTTTACAGGTCGCAGGCTACAAGACTAGCAAACTGGAACGAGTGAAGACTGAGTTATTATAAAAATTAAAAAGTTATATCAGTCATAATTATGGCTTTTTTAAAGTCCTATTTAAAAAGAAGTTTAAAACAGTGGTTCTCAGCCAGTGAGTCACAGAACTGCTGTTGATCGGTGTGAGGACAACAGAGAGTTACACGCAGTTTTTAATTTGTGGATGGTGCCAGCACCCAAACACTATTTTTAATCACATGAACATTGTTGTTTCAACTTATGTTTTTCTAAAATGATATGTAGTTTTCTTTGCCATTTCTTTGTACAGCCACACAATCTCTCGCTTACTCCAAACTGGACTGTGGTCTTCTTCTTGTTTTTATTCCAAACACCAGGAACGCTGCAAAATTACATACCAGCAGCATCACATTTGTCTAAAATAACATCTTCTTATGCAACTGATTGTGACTTCTACATCAGACTTTGGTTCTGATGCAAAGCCAGTTGGGAACCACTGGCTTGAACCCCTTTTAGGATAGCAAAGAAAAGCAGCATTGCAGTGAGAGTAAACACACACACACACACAAAGCAGCTATAACCAAGCAAACGCAGAGTCACTGGTGAGATAAATGTGGTCAAACGATGTTGAACTGGCACACGGATGGCTTCTCGTCGCGGCAGTTCTCGTCAAACCACTTCCCCTGGGAGGCTGCAGAGAGCACAGCGCAGTTCTGGGACATGCTCCCGTCTGGCTGGGGGGACCTAAAGTTGGACGTGTCCCAGTTTTTGTAGGTGATACTGCTGCTGGTCTGGTCGATCCAGGTGCCCTCAGTTACCATATCGTTGATGCCCAGCCACGCCTGCTCATCTGGGCCGATGCTTTGGCGGACGTAGTCTCTGAACTCATCGTTCTCATCCTTGGATGTAGGTGTGCCAAGGACACCGCCCAGGGCGTTGCAGTCTTCGCTGGCGGTGTGATAACGTTTCCTCACAGGGTCACTCAAGAAACACTTGCCATTGATCTTTTTGCCTTTTAAACAGACTGCAGAGGGGAGAAAAAAAGGAACTGATGGTTAAATAAGAACAGTAAAATGCTTTTTTTTTTTTTTTTTTATGTTTTCTTGTTTTTGTGAGGACTTTTTTTGATAATGATATGCAGGAAAAATGTAGCTTTGTTATCATGGCGAACACAACTTTAAAAAAAGAATGTATGTGTTTGTTTTCCAGAAACAATATGATTTTCTGTTCAGAACAGCGGGGCAAACGTGTTTTCCAGATTAAAATATGGCATTTTAAAGACTCCACATGTATCTAATCTGCACTTATGTTTAACTGAAGCATGCTTCAGGATATTGGATCCAACTTAAATACATATTTTGTTCTCTCAACTGTAATCCATATCAGACAGAAGTGAGACTAAGAAGTGCGTCTGTCTCCACTCTGCTGGTGTGATATTAAAGGCATATTCACCTTCAATCACCAGTGACTAGGATCAGCCCAAGCACGGTTTATGAAGGAGGACACGTCAACAAGTGTTATATAGATAAACGGGCTAAAATGGATAAAATAAGTTGCTGTTGCATGAATAACTGTGAGAAATTGTGTTGAATAATCTAAATGGGTAGAGTGAGTGAAAGTGTGTACTGCTAATTCTTACTCTGACTTGACTGAAAACATATAAGATGCATGCACACTAAAAAAAATCAAACAATGATTAAAAACAAGAATTCTGATATTTTGTGTCTTATTAATAATATTATGTGACAGCTAGTTTATAGTGCATGCATATTTTTTTAATAAAATATCAAATGTCTTAAGGTAGATTTAACAGCTGGCCCCAAAGCAAGGTAAGCAAGGACTGTTATACACTGTTAACTTGCATACACTCGTACACTTAAGGGTTTTATCACATGACGGTGCAGGTAGTGCCTTCTCTTGATGACTGTTTTAACTATGAACTGTTTTAAACACCAGGTTTACCTCTTTGCAGAGCCTGCTGTTCCTTCAGTAGGTTGAGCTCCTGGACGATGTCATCGATCTGTTTCTGTAATTGCACAATAGCAGCATCCTTTGTTGTATCTGATTCCAGACATACAAGAAATTTTTTTTAGAAAAGGTTAATTGTGCAAACTCAGTGATCAAACAGCTTTAGAGTGTTTTAAGTAAGAGGAGACTCTTAAGACTCTCTACCTTTTTTCATGGGCTTCTTCTTTGTTGGAATCTGCTGAAGCGAGGAGCTTACGAGCAGCAGCACTCCTAGGAGCACACACACTCCTTTGAACTCCATGGTTAGACCTGTCGAATGAGGCTGAATCAACGTGGACGCTTGCAATTTATCCATCTCCCTCCCTCTCTCTTTCTTTCTTTCTATTTGTCCCTCTCACACACTCCCTCTCATCCCCCAGAAGATGGAAAAATTATGTAGTCTGAAAGTGCTGTTTGTAGGAATAACAGTCCAACCTCAGAAGCCTTTAAGGATGGCGTGTGTGCGTTTCTTTTGGCTCCAGACTCTTCACGTGGAGGTTGAGGGCTAACCAGAGCCAGGCCTGGAAAGCAGGTGTAGACCTGCAGACTGAGGCCAGACAGTGTGAAGCAGCTATTACATAAGCCCTCTGCAGCTTTCATGAAGGTGTATAAAAAAGACAAACAAAGAGCGACTCTTCTGTTGCATAAGACCCTGCATAACTCAGCTATAGTTTTACTGGCTCAAATTATTATAGTTTCATCCACAGCATATGGCTAAAATTTGACCTGTAAGTTTTATTACTGCAGGTGTTTTTGACAGCAGTGAAGGTGCATTATGATCCTTTAGTAGATGAGATGCAGGATATTTTCTTTTTTTTTAGTTTCAGACTTCGCACTGAAAGATTTAGGCAATGGCTCAAACTTTGCCCACATGTCAGACTGATCCAAAGCAAGAGCTTGTTTTGGATCAGTCTGTTGCCTGCCTGTGCACACACCCTCACCCTGTCTGAGGACAAAGTGGAAATCATCCAGAGTCACATCTGGTCCTTCTGTAAAATTCCACTACACTTATTCCTCAGCTGACACGTGGCAAACACAAAAGGATGCAGAAAGACTGGACAGTTCCAGTGCAGGTCTGCTGAGAGAGGGCAGTGCAGATTTCAAGAATGGAAAGTTTTGCATTTGTGGGGAGTTAAAAAACAACAACCCATTCACTGATGCGGAACAAACTTTAAGGATAAATGAACACAAACACTAAGTATTGTTCAAGGTTCATATTAGGCCATTTTTCCAACCATTTGCATCATAATAAGTATTTTAAATAATCTGCACTTCATCTTCTTCCTGACTTTGTAACAGCTTGAAATCAGACTAAAACTAAAACAGACAAACAATTAGCCCATAGAAAATATTTTGATAATCAATTAATTATTTTAAGCAAAATGCCAAAAGATTCAGTCTTTATTGACAGCAACTTGAATATATTTGGTTTTGGGCAAAAGAATACTGGTGGTCGCAAGTGCTTCCCCTGAGCCTCCTACTATATGCACGTATGGTATAAATGTGAAATAATAATAATAATAATCCCTCACTAGCTTCAGCTTTCAACCAGACATATCTTCTACAAAGCTTCATCTGTTGTGATTCAGACGCCACATAAAACAATTCCTCTATCAATCTGTGTGCAAACAAAACAACAACAAAAACGTATCTGAAAAAACAAATATACGCAGAGTACAAATAAACACTTTATTAGAAAATTATGTATACATGTAAACACAAACTTGGAAACAGGAGCGGATTTTTAGCCCAAAAAACCAACTTTCTGTCTCTTTTTTCCGAGACTCTCTTCCTGTTCCAGCAGCTTCATGAGAGGAGCGTGGAGGGCTTTCCCAACTCTTTTGCCCGCCTGCAGAAAACAAGCAAAGAAAGAAAGAAAGGAAATAAACAATCCACCCATTTTTCTGCCACTTATCCAGGTTTGGGCACGGGGCAGCAGTGTAAGCAAAGATGACACTTGGCTCTGCCTAGAAATTCTGTCTATAAAAGTAGTGAACTACTTTAGTTAGGTGGGTGAGCAGGTGCCCATTGACTTATGGTTGAAATGCAGCAGCCCAGGTTCAAGTTCAACCTGCAGCTCCAACTCCACGTGAGAATATAAAGGATTCCTTTTAACTGAAGGTCAAATGTTGCTGCTTTAAAATGTAAATAAGGTTAAAAGCACAATTTGTTAATTCTTCAGCTGTGCTGAGAGGAGGCCAGATGGCTGAGGAGCGAAGCTGGGCTCACCTCTGTCATTTCAAAGATGCTCTCTGGGTCCAGACTGCCTCCGCCCACCTTCCTCATACAGGTGATGGTGCCCTTGTGCGTGACGGAGATTATGAGGCTTGCCACAGAGCAGGCCTTCTCCTGCAGTGTTGCATCCACCACATGTCTGTGTCCCACCTGCAGAAACACAGTGAGCCGCATGTAGCACTATGGTGTGGTGACAGTCATCACCTCTGAGCATCAGCAAGTGAGCTCACCTTGCACAAAGTCACTATACAGGGAACGTTTTCTACGTTGAGTCTCATACAGTCGTAGGGGTCGTCAGACAGCTCAATTTCTTTTCCTCCTTCTTCATCGGATGATATGTGAACTTTGGGAATTCTGTCGGTGGAGTAATCAAGACTTTTAGTAAGATTTCATTTGTGCAATATTAAATAAACTGTAAGATGCCAAAAAATCCCACACAGAGACTCACTTTGTGTTGAAGAGAGCCGCCTTGATAGCTACTGATATGGCATCGTACAAGTTTCCATCACACTGCAGGAGCTGTGGAAGCATAAAAACATGAGATTTGACCCAAGTTGTTTGGATTTATTTGGAAATGTTCAAGCAAATCTTAACACCTCTACACTGCTAACAACTCTTACTATACAAACAGGAAGAAAAAGGTAAATGCAGGAAAACAGTCTTGTCATTTTGAGGATAATAACAGAAGCACAGCCCATAAGAATCACATCTAGGGTTGTGATGGAATAATTGTAATTATTTATTAGTTTTTTGTGCTAAAATATGTCAGAAAATTGTGAAAATGACTGGTGTAGTAAGTTCTCAGTCAAATTATTGTCCAAAAATAACTTGTTCTGTCTAAAAACAATAAATTTATTATTGCAGAAAACAACTGTGGAGCAGCAGAGGAGAGGATTTTGGCTGGATCACTAGTCAAAATTCAATGACGCTCAAATGGAGGGCAAAAAAAACTGCAGTCATGGAGAAAGGGAGCTGCAGTGTAGAGTGCACGTTTTCTTTATTTTTGCACACTAGAAAAAAATAAATATTAAAAAAGAAAAAAATTTTAGGAAGCAAAAGGCAGCGTTGGACACTACGACTCACCAGCACATCCACATAGAGCACCCAGCAGTGTTCTCCAGCACATATGCAGAGGCTCTTCAGATCGATGCTGCGTTTGTTGTTGAAGACTTTGTAGAGGGTGTTACTCAGCTTCGTGCCCAGCTCCTCACCCCCTCTGCCCTCAAACTCGGGGGTCGCATTGGCCGAACTGAAGAAGAAACAACCCAGTGAAGTCGTACAGCAGGAGCTTATCCCAGAGTAAAGCTTGCTAATCTTGCTACCTCTCTTCACACAAACACGTTATGTATGGTCATATGATAATACTTTCTTTAGTGGACTATGGTGGAAATCCAGGGAACAGATAATGCAACACTACCTCCTGGTGGCAGCACATCCATTAAAACACTCACTTAACTTCAAGTGATTTTTTTTACTTTCAATGTCTTTAAAATCTTTAATTGCTGATGCAAAAATTTTGATTTGAATTCAAGATTTTTCACCTAAACGCTGTAAAAAATGACGCGTACCCACGTTTAAACCAACGGGGTGTAACAACTCTTCCGAGCCACAGCCTGGCTTACCTTTCAACTCCCCACAAAACAAAAAACAAAAAAAACCCAGTTGTTTTTTTTAAACCACATTCATGAATAGAGAAAAAATACACTTAATTATTCTGGGGTATTTTTTTTTGTTTTTATTCTGGGGTATTTCTAGTTCTTTTTATATAACAGCAGCTGTTGCACTTTCACCTATTCTCACGCTGCCAAATAAATCTTACAGCAAATAATGAGAATAATAACTGTAATAATAATAATAATAATAATTAATCAAATCAGAAGTAATCAAAATCAGTACATGTTTTAGCACCAACTCTGCTGCTACACTATACAGTTTGTGCCCGTCAATAATACGTAAAAATAAAAATAAAATAATTCTGTGATTAACACAGAAAGCAAATTTCGATGATCACTGTGAAGATTGTAGAAAATGCCGTGGGACCTTTTCCCCCCTCTGTTAAATCCATAGTGGCACCTCTGGGCTCAAACACACACTTGATTACAGCTCTCACCAGACACATGTGCTTTAACGTGGAATTACCAGCTTCAAGTGGAATAGTGAAATGATATTGTGGATGTTTGTATCCCTATTTTGGCCACAGTTTCAGAATTGTTATACCCCTCATAAACAGAAATATCATTTAGCAGCATACATACCAATCAACAAAGAACTCCAAATAGCCCTCAGCTGGCACCGTTGGCCTTGGTTTTCCAATCTCTGCCTTAACCCCCACAAGAACCGCTGTGTGCCCCTGGAAGAGAGACAAACCATGGGGTGATATAAAAAGGTTGGTCTGACAGTGGAACCTGGAAATGAGCTTCAACAGCACTCTGACTTCTGAAAAGTGTACTCATGCCTTCACTTCATCTCAGCTTTACTACTAACAGTTTTCATTCATCTGTCAAGTCATTCAGGTTTTGCTTTGCTGACTGTAGCTGGACTAAAACCCTGTGGGAAGCCTCTTAAGTGACAAGTGAGATCACATATCAGCCATTGTGGCTTCCTTACACTGGCTCCAAGTCAAATTTAGATGTGATTTTAAGAATTAGTTTTTTCGTAAATCGTTTAATGATCATTAAATATCATTAAATTTCAGTCTTTCAGCTGTTCACACATGCTGCCTGATTTAATTACCAGCGTGACTTTGGCGGATCCGTCTGTGTTGGAAACCACATCGGTCTCTATTTCCATGTGTCTGTAGTCCTCGCAGCCTCGTCCATCCACCCTTAAGTCATCCTGAAGACCAGGAAGAAACATGTCAACAGAGACAGTGCTAATGCAGCTAGCTTCCTATCGCTAAAGCTCATAAATACATTTAAAATGATTTTAACAGAATGAACAAAAGTCTGGTGCTGTATTTTTTAACATGTTTGTTAACAACTTACTCGTATGCCGTGTAGTATGTACACTTTTTCAGCCTCACTAACTTGCACTGTTGCCATTTTTCAGAAACACTTTTAGCATGTGTGTGTATGTCTGTCGCTTTACCCCTGCGTCATCAGAAAACGACAATAGGGGGAAATAATCCGAAGGGCATGCTGGTTGTTTGAGTTTTCTAATAATCTTTACAGGTAAACACCCCACCCAACAAACACAAGACAGTGATCTCCTAAAAACAAAGATATTCCACTGATGTTGACACGAAAAGCAACTTAAAGTTTGAACAACCCTTTACAACAATTTTTCTGCACGTGCTTTAACTTATGCCACGTATTTTTGGTAATTTTTTTCTTGTGATTTTTTTCCACGAAATCTGTGAATTTTGTACCCTATGTATTTTACTTGTAAATTTGTTGTTTTATATTATTAAGTTTCTATTTCCTATTTTATTAAAGAAAATTCGCTATTTTTTTTTAATAAATAGATGAGTGTTTTCTCAAAAGCTGCCAATTTTTGCGTGTAAATTTACTTTTTGTGTCATAGACTGACATTTTTTTGTTTTGGTTTGTTGCTTAAAATATTGTAATTTTGGGGGGTTATTTGAAACTTTTTTTCTTCTCATTTTTTCCTTGTAACTTTTTTTGGAAATTTTTCTCCCCTAGTACAATCCCTTATTCATTCATTCATTCATTTATCTATTTTCCTTACAGACTTACTCACTTTAACCTTCAGCAGCCCTCACCATCGTAAGGGGGCGGTAGGATTTTGCAAGGTTTTGATCTCAGCCCGGGTGAAAGTACCACCTAGAAGTCAACGCTCAGGGTAAAGCGGCCCATAACACACAGGAGAGGGTGTCTGACTTCCTGGTTGGATCTGCATTTTGTTGTCCCGCTGCCCGCAGAGCTTTCTGGATCTGACGGGAGGAGCGGCAGTTCGACAGCACCTTGTGTCAGGTCACGTTTAGCTGACTGTTAGTGAGGATAATTAACACTTCTTTGAAAACGAGACAGCAACGAGAGCGGCAGCCGAGTCGCTGGGGCCGTGGAGGGCAACTGTCCGAAGATCGGTGAGGTTAGCTGGGATTGAGCTAACGGACGCAGCGGAGGGGCAGACAGGCGTGTGTGGATAGTTTGGGGTGTCTGAACTCTACAAGCCTCTAAACTACACAAAGAGTTTAAGAAGCGTCCGTCGAGAAAGGCAAGAGAGTGCGAGGTAGGCTGTGAAAACCCAGTTTCACTCTGGAAAATGGTTTTGTAGATTTTAAGTGTTTCCATTTATCAACTACTGGAAATCCAGTCATCCCGCTCTGTTTCAGCTACCAGTTAACTTCCTGGTTTGGTTTATTACTGCACTTTCCAAAAGATGAGTAGTTATGTCCTATACATCATATATGTTACCATATACGATACTCATCATATCTTTGTGGTGGTTAGTTTACCTGAAATACAGCAAACCGTGCTCAAAAGCACTTCAGCCGTATACATGAGCCCAGAACACACGCTTATTTTTTTCCTCCTTAGTGCCTCTCAGGTTATTCAACATATTTTAGCAGATGTCTGTTTTTTATCCTCGAAATCAAATCGGCCAAAGACGAGCTGGAAGGACCAGTCAGTGAATCTTGTTGTGGATAAACAAGTAATGAAACTGCTGTCTTGCAGTTGCCATAACATTAAATGCAACCATTATTAAAATAGCTTATCTCATTATGAATGGCTTAATAAAATCAATGTCATATGATAAAACAAGATAGCTCAATAAGATACAAAAAAACCCCACAGTTAGATAAGAAATTAATGATATAATATAAGAGTGAAACCAAAGACAGGTGACTGAAATGAAAAAAGGTGATCATCTCCTCAGAGTTCACATGTAGATGTGAACATGCCACATATTCAGTTTACAAATGTAATTAAAATTAAATTCTTAAGTGTAAGAAAGTGTTTCTTTAGTGTAAAGAAGTCCATTTTAAAGCGTTCACCTTAGCTAAATTCAATATTTCAAAAAATCTGAAATGATAAGCTGAATTGAAAGGCACCCTTTTACCCCACTCCCTTAAAAATAACCCTACAACACAGGGTGTCATTTCATGTTAAAAAATCACACGTGAAACAAATAAACAACCTGAGGTGAACTTGAGAAAAACGGGTGTAGTGTTCTACGTCTTTATGTTTAAACCATGTCTAGATCTCGAAATACTTTCAACTCACCATTCGTTTCACACCTGTACAATAAACATGACATCAGTAAAATGATTAACAATTCATTTTTTACTGAAAAAACTGGACAAATTAATGGCTTCTGTGCAATTTTCACTCTTTGTAAAGCCATCTAGTGGGCCAGACTGGACCCTGGACCTGCTTTAGCCAGTAGAGAGTTCGCTCTGTCAGTTTAAAGACCATCAACAGCTACTCCGTGAGCAGTTTGTCGTGTCTAATGTGTCTCTTCTGCCACTCTGCTTCAATACAGGGACAGCAGTATCTATGTGATGATAAATAAAACAATGTGTATCGGTGTCATATTCAGGTCATGTTTGTTTTTGCAATAATAATCCCTGAAGCATCACATTAGTCTTGAGTGAAACAACCATTTTCAGTTTTTTAAGTGGCCCGATGAGACTATCAGTAAAGTGGAACAACATCAGCATGTTAACCGGCTGTTTATCCCAGCAGGAGGTCCTCGTGCCGCCTGCCCGCTCAGCTGCCTCCTTCACTCGGTGGTGTAATTTATTTTACAGCAGGGTATCAAAAATGCCTGTGAATCGTGGAGTGTTTTAGTGTGCTGCATGCATTTTAAATGAACTTACCTTTACCGTGTTAAACATTTTCACATACTGTATCTACTGTATCTTCCGGATCGTCTTAGACAAGATTTTGTTGTGTAAAGTGTTTCTGTTCCATTCATGTTGGTTTTCCTCTCTATACAAGCAGCTATTCACTGACAGAAATCTATAGACTCATTCTGCAGGAGGAACTATTTGCTTAATTGTTAATGAACTCAGCATCAGTAGTTAGTTTCACTCCAGGGCTTTCTTGCCTATTTCATTGTCTTGAGTTTCTGTCTTTTTTCATCATCTCCATTTTCACTCAACACTGGTTTCATTGCTGTTTCTAGCTGTTGTTTCTAATGAAGGGAGTCGTTTTCAGTGACACACCGGCCATGTGTAAGCTTCCTGCATCCTGAAGCAAGTTTTACTTGAAACTCGACAGGTGGACTTCCTCCACCCGTCGAGCCAAATACGCGTCAAGTGAGTCACACGAGTAAACAACACGTGGTTATTACAGGGACACTAGCATGTGTACTCAAAATTCATTTAGTACTCCAATAGAACACTTAAAAACAATCGTTCATCTAACCAGAGTGAAGTAGGTGAACTTACAGCTTATTTGCAGCGGGGGAAGTAATCTGAAACTTGAACTTTAAAGCAAACAGTTCCCAAAAATGCTTCAGCTTTTTTTGTGTGTGTCGCTTTGGAACAAACTGTGTTGCTACACCTTTGCAGCCACAGTTACAACATACTGTAATATAGGAAGTTGAATATTGAATATAAATCATGAGAAAAAAGCAAGTGGTTGGTCTGGAGTTGTTTCTGGAGCAAGCTAAAGACCCAGAACATTAGGAAATGCCTTAATGGTAGGTTTTAAGTGAACATCGGGTCAGTTTGTCGTGAACGGCACATTTGTGTCAATTCTTGCTGACCTCAAGAGCCCTGGGAATAAATCTGCTAAACATAATTTTTGTAGCATTATAGAAAAAATACAACAAGTGTATTTGGCTACTGAATGAGTCTTTTTAGATTCTGTGATTTCATTTTATTAATTCATTTATTTTTCGGAACAAAGTTGTATTATTTACCAGTTTCAGTGTACACTTTGTGTCTTTTGTCCTGTATTCGTCATTTCACCCCCAGCCAATTGCAGCAGATGGACACCCCTCCCTGAACCTGGTTCTTCCTGTTACTGGTTTCTTGCTGCTAAAAAGGAGTTTTCCCTTCCACTGTAACCAAGTGCTTTCTTACAAGAGGGTTGTCTGATTGTTGGGGTTTTCTCTGTATTATTGTGGGGTCTTTACCTTAAAATTTAAAGTTGTGATTTGACACTATATAAATCAAATTGAATACATTTTCAGTAACACCTGGAACAAAAATTGACTTCTTTTGACTGGTAGTTTACGGTGACAGATTAGTATTATCTGATGACCACGTTGAAATAAATTGCTCAAAAAATTATTTATTCAAATAAAGAGTAAAAATTAGAATAGCCTAAATGAGCGCACAAAACTGTTTTAAATACTTGGTGCTGCTTAAAAATGTCACTGCTGATAGATGCTGTGTGACATTCTTGGGAAATGTAGATGTGCTGGGATTCTTTCCTTTATTGTGATCCACAGCTTGACATGGTGGTGAATGTTGGGTACAGAGTTTTGTTTGTCACCATGCCATCTATGCCGCTTGACATCTGTCCAACTTTGGCTTTAGACGGATTGATCCTTCCAGGAAGCTTTTATTTCACTTGCAGTAATGTAATGACTTGTTGTCAACTTGAGTGATGTTAAATTCTAGCCTGGTCTCATTGCGAAATGTTTTTTTTTTTTTTTCCTTCTCACATGCACGGAGACAAACTGTCCACTTTACTTTGTTATGTTGCAGTCAGCAAGACTTTGGCCAGTCCTGAGTAAGCAGGATCAACTTTGAAACCAGTATGTTTCACATTTGTGCTGCCTCTGTTTTTGAGCGTCCTGAGTAGCATGTGTCGCCATGCCAACCTAGAAAACTGAGCATCCTTTTGAAACGTCCGACTTGTGTACTTTAACCCAGATGTGATCTTTTTCTAAACCTAATCAAATAGTTTTCTTTTCTAAACTGAACTAGGTCATTTTTGGTATGTAAACAGAACTAATGCTACAGTCACACTGGGGAAAACGGTGATCTGCTCTGTCTGGACCCTCCCTCACACATAGACATGGTGAAACAACGAGCATAGGAGAAGAAACTTTGGCACCAAAATGTAGTAAAAACTGATCCGATTAAAAGGTTAAAAATCATAAATCCATTTTGGTTTTGATTTAATTTTGCTTTCCTTCTGGACAGTGATGGAATCTGAGATTTTGTCCCAGATGTGCTGTATGTTTTTATTCTGATTAAATTTCTGTCCTCTAGGAAGCTTGTGTAACTGTCAGGATCATTGGACAAGCCTTAATTAATGTGGACATAAAAGTGAGATTAGACTATCATTCAGTTAAGTCTAATGGATAGATCGAATCCTTAGTTACACCCAAGCAGTTTGATTGCTCTAATTTTAATCTTAAGTTTCAGTGAGGAGAAGGGCATCAAGGTTCCTGTATCCTACAGGAATCAGCTGTTTTATTTTAGCCTTCATGTAATACTGAGATCTAGTTATTTTTGACAGTTTGGCCCCTTTCAAGTCACATCAGATTTTTGTCTACACACACACACACAAACCTGCTTGATGACTTATTTATGAGCCTCGTCTCCAGACGGATCTGGATACACACACGCTTAAGCCCCAAGCAGAGCAGGACAGCAGTGTAGTCTGTTTTGTGGTGAAGCATTGTTTTGTGTTACCTTTAAGGCCAAATGCTGAAACTTTGCTGTGAGAGGATGCATGGATTTTCTTGGCGTTGTGGGATCAGAGCGGTTAGTGTTTGTTCCTCCTCCAGTTAATGCGTCCTCTTGAGCGTTTACTCCAACATTATTTGCTGATTCACTGTGCCTTAATGGCTCCTGCCTTTATTTATATTCCTCGAGGACCATGCAGATTCTGTTATTAGTCTGTTTACACTGACTCTTAATTGCTGTGGGACACCACTGTTACAGCGAAGTATCAAAGTAATACAGTCAGAGCAGAAAAAAATAGTTGTTTGATAGAAAATGAATTAAAAAAATAAATCAAACGTTGTTTTGTTCAGCTTCTCTCCTGAGATAATTTGAATTTCTGTGTGTGACAGAGAGAATAATCCATATTGAAGGTGATGGAAGTGAAAATAACTGTATGGCAACTGTGTACCATCCCTCGCATAAGTCCCTAATTCCTCCTCTTCTTTCATTTTCTTCCCACCGCTCTGTCCCCCCCTCTTCCTCACCATCTGTCTCGTCACTCCTCGCAGTATGTGGTTGGAGCCACAGGCGCTTTAGGATGAAGAGCCCGGCGCACCGCACCAGGGACATTGAGCGCCAAGCTGGCTACCTGAAGCGCGAGCACTGCACCCCTCCTCCACCGCGCACCGGCTCCGACACCATGTGGTTCATCCGCGACAGCTGCGGCATCGTGTGTGGCATCATCACCTGGCTCCTGGTCTTCTACGCCGAGTTTGTGGTGGTGTTCGTCATGCTGCTGCCTGCCAAGAACGTGGCCTATAGCCTCTTCAACGGGGTGCTGTTCAACGGCCTCGCCTTCCTCGCCCTTGCTTCCCATGCCAAGGCGATGTGCACAGACCCGGTCAGTCAGAGCTTTATTGGTCCACTTTATTTGCTTGTAGGATGTGATACTGACTGTCTGACTGGCAGTATTTATCCTCTCTCGATTTATTACTACAATAATTTAAGAATGTGTTCCTGTTGGTGTGCTTATAGTAAATATTTGACTTGCAACAGTTGCATGGGGTACTAAACTTTTAATTCTGTGCTCTTTTACTTTAAACTTCCACAAATTCCTCCACACTTCTCTGACACGTACTTTGCAAATTATATCTACATTTTATTAGGTACACTGGCAGCTAGGAGTTTATGATATATGCTTATGAAATGCAGCGCTCTCCAAACTTTGTGGTTTTGTATCCTTTAATGTATAGCTGGAGCCTATGGTATGACTCACATGCTTTTATTTAAAAAAAATAAATAAATAAATCTAAACTACCTGTAACTTGCAGCAGAAATAGAAGTAAAAAATAAAATAAAAAATTGATCAGATTTCTGTTATAGAACCAATTTAATTCTTATTTTCCACCACATTAATCATCCCCTCAGTGGATCCCTGATCCTTAGGTTGTGAGCCCCTTAATTATTCAACAGAATTTAAACTGTAGTCATATCAGATATAATAAAAATGTCATTCACGTCATTCATGTCTAAAATGTCATTAGATACATTTTTCTTATAACATCCCACAAACATGACCTTTTTTTTCTCTCCTTTTTTTTTTTTTGTTGCCCATCTGGCTTAGTTGTATCACAGTCCATTGACTTTCTTGGATATCAGGTGGAAAATAAATTATCTTGGGTTCTCTCCTAGTTTTTGACTCTGAGGAAACTCTTTTTTGTTTCCCCTATTAGGCTCTTGGATAGTCTCACATAACCCATAAAGCCCTACTGAAAAATTTGACACTTTAAAATGAGTTTAAGGCCCCACCTGTGACGGCTTGCATGCACTTTAGTCTGGGGTGGGCTTTGTTTTAAGTCTAATCTCATTTTTAATCTTCCGTTACTGTGTTTTAGTAATTTTTTATTTGTACTCTTCTTTATGGATTCAGCAGCTTTTTTTGTTTATCCCTTTCAGTCTAGCTTTACTATTTCTGCAAACCTTTTTTTTAGCATACTCTTGATTTACTTCTAATTGTTACATAGATTTGGATTTGTTTTCTCTATGTGCTTTGTTTGTTTTTTGTTTTTTTAAAAATGCTTTTGTGTTTGTCATGTTTTGTCTATCTTGGGCTTGGAAGCCTCTTGAGTCAACTCCAGCATTTGTAATACGAAGAAAGTTCAGCATAGCCACAATATCTATTCCTTATCTGGTTTCACTTCCCCTAAAATCCGCAGACAGGCTAAGCGGGTCACATGAAGGTGATTACCAACTCGATAAGTCAGCCCAGGGTTTCCCAATCTAGCTATAAGTGCGGTCACATAAAAGAGAGTGTGCGTTTGGCTGGAGAAGCACTTTTTAAATGCACTTTATAAAATAAAAGCCATCTTGCCGTCAAAGGAAATCATGTACCCCCGAAAGAAATCATGTACCACATGTAGAGTGACAGAGCAGAGCTGACTTCTCTTTTCATCCCACTCCTCCTCAGGGTGCTGTGCCTAAAGGAAACGCAACCAAAGAGTTCATTGAAAGTTTGCAGCTCAAACCAGGACAGGTGGTGTACAAATGCCCCAAGTGCTGCAGCATCAAGCCAGACAGAGCTCACCACTGCAGGTACAGCACTGTATGAATCTGTGTAGTATAAGAAAGGGTACACTTCTCATTGCAGACTGCACATTTTGGGAACAAAACAAACAGGAATCTGCTGAAGTCTGCACCTCACAGAGGAAAGTCCTGATGCGACTCTCCGGCTGGGAACGCCACTCCTCCTCTGTGTCTGTTCCTAGACTGGCTCTCCTGCGTCTTTCAGCTGTGTCGCATTTCCCTGCAGACTCTGCAAGTTGATAATAATAAGGACTTCCCTCTGTGGCTGCTCAGTGGTTTCTCTGGGATCTCAAGGCATGAAAAGTGCAAAAACACCTCCGATTAATTGAATTGTGAAGCCAGTGAGTCAGCCCGTCTCAGAAGCAAAAATGGCAGTCAGTTTGATTCTTTTCAAGCTGAATATTATGAGTCATTCTTGAGGGTGCTTCAGATGATACAGTGCAGTGACACAGTTATCTCTTAACAACCCAAACAAACAGTATCTTACACACAGAATGGCAGCTTTTTAAAAAGCGATTTCCCCATAAAACAAAGCGCCCAGGCAGCTCGAGTGTGACTCTCTGCTTTGTCTTATGATAAATTATGAGTTTCTGGCTTTTACTTGAGTTGTCAGCCTGCTGCAGTTTTGACAGATAAATAACCCCCAGTCTGCAGCTGCTATGACTGAGAGCAGCCTGTTCATTTTCTCACAGTTGACTGAATTATGCTCCTTAAGGTGTTTGTGTGTGTGTCTTTTAGTGACAGTTGTTGTGACATACCAACACCCACATTTGTGCATTGCATGACTCCCTCAGGTGTGCCTATGATTAATTTATTTTGTCTCCACAGTGTGTGTAAACGCTGCATCAAGAAGATGGACCATCACTGCCCCTGGGTGAATAACTGTGTCGGAGAAAGCAACCAGAAATACTTTGTCCTCTTCACAGTGAGTCTTTAACAGCAAAACGAATATTAGAATCCACTTGAAAATATTCATAATAACTCCCTCTTTCATTATCATGCTCACACTTATACTTGCTCTTGGGTCGAATGTCATAATATATAGGGTGCACCCACCGGCTACTTTAGTAGGTACGCTGGCTTGGACCCAGTTTTGCCATCAGAACTGGCCTAATTTTTCATTGCACATATTCAGCAAACATAGGAAACATTGGATAGAAATTTTGGTCTATATTGACATGATAGCATCACATTGTTACTGCAGATTTGTTGGCTTCACATCAGTGATGTGTATCTCTTGCTCCACCACACCCCAAAGGTAATCTATTGGAGTGGGAAATGGCACTGAAGGCCATTTGAGCACACTTTAACTCATTGTCATGTTCAAGAAACCAGTTTGAGGTGATATGAGCTTTGTGACATGGTCACATTGTTAACTCTGCTCTAAGCCTACCATCCATATATGACAGCAGAAATTGAGACCAAGACTAAGCAAAATCTTTCCAATCTGTCTGTCCAATTTTGATGAAGACATGTAAATTGTAATCTTAGTTTCCTGTTTTTAATAAAAGTGGCACCCGGTGTGGTCTTCAACTGCTGTAACCCATGTTGTGCATTCAGAAATGCTCTTCTGCACAACTTGGTTGTAACCAATCGGTGTCCATTCATGGTTATTTGAGTTAAAGACCTTTAGATATCGGAAAATCCAGACTCCCTTTTTCTTAATCCAGCTGTTCACACTGACTGCGTAATTTTGTTTAGACGAATTTGTGGCAGGTTTTTTTTTTTTTTTTTTTTTGAACATAGTTTGATTTTTTTTCTTCTTCTTCTTCCCCCAATTTGCCTGTACGCCTAAATGCATTTTATTTTGGCTTTCCAAATTAAGACCATAAATGAATATGAAGATTATAAAAATGAGATGACTGACATTACATTTGTGTTTGTTTTCAGATGTACATTGCACTAATATCCTTCCATGCGTTATTCATGGCGGCCTTCCATTTCGTTTTCTGCATTGAAGAAGACTGGGCGAGTAAGTGTGTGTCCTGTAATATAGTAGTTTAGTATAGGAACCAATCCAATCAGTAAAGCTTGTGACTAAGATGTAAAATGTTATGCATTAGAAGACTAATGTGGAACTCTTTTCATAGTTGATTTATTGTCTAAGCAAACTTGACACATTCTCTGCACTGACAAGCTATGACTTCTCTATTTTTATGCAAAATGTGAGGGGCAAGCCTCTGATTGGGCTAAGTGAGGGAACAGGGAACCTTGACGCTTAAGTCTTTAAGTCTGTTTAATATCCTTTCTGGTTTCCAAATTTTAGGTTATTTACTTGGTTTAACATAAAAAAAACCCTCCCTTTCTTTCCAGAGTGCAGCAACTTCTCTCCACCAGCAACTGTCATCCTCCTCATCCTCCTCTGCTTTGAAGGTCTCCTCTTTCTGATCTTCACTGCAGTCATGTTTGGGACTCAGGTCCACTCCATCTGCACTGATGAAACGGTGAGTAAATCCAGCAGGGAATTTCACCACCTTACCTCTCCTCTGCACACCTCTTGAAAACTGAATTTCAGCTACCGCCGTGTCAGCAGTCTGGCATGAGGTTAAGTTCTCATGTCAGAAACTTTCCACCTTGCTGAAGAGCCTTTAAAAAGAAAGATACTAGATCCTTTTCAGCTTGATGTGGAGAAAGTGCTGGCCTGGCTCTGACCCTTGTTTCTGCAGTTTCTACTTCACCTCACAGAGAACATTTCTCTGTATAACACTGCAGTTAGACTCTTTTTAAAGTTTGACTCAACCAGAGACATTTTGTTGTTTGTCTTCAGCACAAAGTTAAGTGGAAGTAATCGTTACATCAGTCGCAACTGATGTAAGTGTAGGCGACCTCATTGACCACATCTTTGTTATTAAGGAAACATGATAATGTTTTATCAATTGTAATGTTTTAGAAGAAAAACAGCAACCGTTTATTGCATGAGATTATATTTACTGATTGTGCTCTCTAAAGCTACTTATGATCAGTACATTTACTCTCAAGAAGAGAGAAAAGGTTTTATTGTCCATACTCTTAAAAAATGAAGTATTTTCTCAATCTGTAAAATGTAATATTAGAAATTAGAAAAATACTGTACACTAGTCTTAAAAACCCCCATAAATTCATGATACAAAGTTTATTTTGTCATATACTGGACCTTAGTTTAGCCCCTCAGTTCATCCTTTGTGAAACAGCTGTTTTTAGTTTTTTCCCCTTTAAGCTAACTTTCTTGTGATTGGTTGCTCCTTGCAAACAGAAACTTTTAAGTCAGACCTGTGTGCTTGAGGGACTGTACGAGGAGATCTGCTCTCACTGACATGATATGAGAGTTTAAAGAAATTACTAAAACCAGAGATTTAGAGCAGTCTCAACTCTGAGCGTAAACTGACCTCATTATTTGAAACTCTGGCCATGTTTGATATCAGTCACTCTTAAGAGTACAGAAAATAAGGAAAAGCATGTCTGGTCCTTTAAAGAAAAAATGTTTCTTAACAGTATGAAGACCAGCACCAGACTCGGGTGTTTTAGTTTGCAGTTTGGGGTCGAGCCTCCATAAGATTTCCCAATGTATATATTATGTATATAATGTTCTTCCTCTACCCCCTCTTCCTATAACTATGCATTTGACAAATAAAGAACCTTGAACCAAAATAAACTAAACCTGTTCGTCCTCCAGGTGGGTTCAGAGTAATGCATTTTCTGCTCAAGACACCCACAGCTCTGACTCAGACTTATCACTACAAAGAACTGTCAATTGTAGTGTTATATGGCCTCCATTTGTTGACTGTGTTGGTTTATCCTGGGAGCTTTCTTAATCGTCAGGAACCACTGAGAGTGAGTCACCTAAGACCTGTGAAAGGAAAACAAAAGAATACAAATTGTGATTCATTTTTAATCCCTCATTCAGCAGCTGCATGTTTCGATGTTTTGTATCAGGGCTGAATTTAACTCGCACTGCGTTGCTTTACCTTTTTTGCAGGGTATCGAGCAGCTGAAGAAGGAGGAGAGGAGATGGGCCAAAAAGTCTAAATGGATGAACATGAAGGTGGTGTTTGGCCACCCATTCTCTATAGCCTGGCTGAGCCCCTTTGCAACACCTGACCATGGAAAGGCAGATGTGTATCAGTATATAGTGTGAAAGCTGGATTCTAAGTGTCTGCGGACATAGACTGATCACTCTTGCCTGGAGCACAAACTTCTCTTAACCACTTCTAAATTTTCTTTCTTCTAGGAACTATTGATATTTCAGGGTGTTTTGCTGTAAAATGTGTTTTTCCTTTTTAAATTTTGCCGTTGCCCTTTCCCTGTTTTGGTGCTGACTGAGATTAACGAGGTGTAGCTGCACAATACAGCACTCTTAAGCTATGCAGCAGCATCTTGACAAGAAGCATCTAATGAGACTCTGGCAAAACACAACAAGAGACTAAGTTTTGCATTCGCTGGAGTGAATATGCCTGCAGTATCTTCAATCATCTCCTACTTCTAAGACTACACAATGTGAACTCAAGTCCTGAATGTTTCTACTCAAAGAAGCACAGCATGGTTGCCACAATGAACACCTGGTTTTGTCTTCCTGTAAAAAATGATCCTTTTTCCTTCATTTGCTTTATTAATGTAGTCGCGGTAGTCTTTTTGCTGAATGCTGCGGATGATTTGCCTTGAACAGAGCATTAGCGAGCAGTGGAATCTGCTTTTTGTAAAGCTATTTCTATTTATTTGCCTTAATGTGACAGTTCAGGCTCACACTTGTTAATGCTACTTGTTTCCTCTTTTTGATGCCAGAGAAAAGTATGTTTGTCCATTTCATTTTTCTTTTTCTTGCATTACTGCAATCAAAAGACAAATGTAACGCCTAACCTTTCTGGCAAGAAATCACATTTTGGAAAAGTTTTAAGTGTTTTTCAAGAGGATTCTGAAAATGGAGAACAGCAATAACCTCACGGTGGCTGGTTAAAGTTATAACCCTTAAGATTTCTGTGCTACTTGGTCAGTTTATATTGCACTAAATGCTCGCTGAGCAGTGTTTGTATCTGCCAACAGAGCATCCAGGTAAAACAAGGTTTCTTTTCATTTTCTACAAGTAACCCGAGTCTTGCAGCGCCTATCTTCTTATGATTTTTTTTTTATTATTTAAAACCAATCCAGCGTCACAACATCTAGAAAAAGTCTGATCGGGTCGTGAAGGTTAGATCATAAAATGCTAAGCCAAAGGCAATTTGAAGATTAAACTCTGACAATCACTTTGCGTTAGCTTCACAATAAAACTTCCTTTGTGTTTGGCCAGCAGAGCATGTAAGAAATGTTGCATTAGATGCATCTTAAACAGCTGGTACAGATGCTAGCACTGACTGAATTAAGCACTTCCACTTGCTTATGCTGGCAGTTTAAATTGTGCATGATTAATTGCGTAATCTAAGACTAACAAGAAATCTGCAGCTCTGCCGTAAATATTACCTTAACCTTTCAAGCCTTTTGTTTTTTGATGACCTTCATAGAAATCATCAATATGTGTCTTACAGAGATGAGATTTAAAGGAGGAATATTGGGAAATTTATGTTTTTAAATACTTTTTTTTTCCCCCCCTTTCTTTGAACAAGTAATGAATGCCGAAAGTTTAAACTAAACATTCAGATCACCTTCTAATATTGTGAAGGTCCTCCTCGTGTTGCCAAAAATGCTCTGACCCATTGAGGAATTAATACATGACCTTTAAGGTGGATCTTGTGGCGTCTGGCAGGACAGCATTTGGGTCCTGTTGGGTTTCAGGGTGTGGCCTCCATGGATTGGGCTTGTTCCAGTCACATGATTGGATGCTTGATCCACTTCTGATCTGGGGAGCTTGGACTCCAGGTCAATGCTTTGGGCTCTTTGTTGTGTTCATCAAGCTGTTCCTGAATGGTTTTTACAGAGGGCTCGGGCACGTTGGCATGTTTGTGGAGGCTGTTTTGCTGTAACATTTAAGTGGGTGGTACATGGGAAAGTAACAGCCATGTGAATGCCAATCTTCCCGGGTGCCCAGCAGATCATCTCACGTTAATAAAATGAGCAATGCTAATTACTTGGTCTCTCAGTGAATTTAATGTTGTGACTGATTGGATTATAATAGAATAGCTGTGTAGAATTTTATGGCAGAGCTGTGTTTAATTACATTAGACTACCTAATAAGGTGGCTATGTAGAAAAGCAGTTAGAGAACGTAAATAAACTGGATGTCAAAATGTTGTCCAAAAATGCTAAAAGTGTAAAAACCAAAAGAGTTCAATTTCCTGAAAAGCTTAAGGGTTATAACTTTCAAGTCTGATACTAGGTAGGTAAAAGTGTAAGATACTTACAGTGACTTCCTGGTCGAATATAAAACTGAAGTTAAACCAGCATCCTTTTGAACTTTAGTTTCATTTGCTTTGTAACAATCACCAGCTGAGACAGAAAGTCAGGGAATCAAGCAATACACGTTGCTCTGTGTGTGTTGACACTAAGTGTATTTTACTTGCTCTCAGTTGATGGAATTCGCTTGTGGTCTGGTTTGTCACAGATTTTCATTATAATTATGTTTTTTGGAGGCGGGAGCTCAGAGAAAATGTTCACTCGGGCTGGAAGTGTGTAACTGTCACAACTGTGGATTTTAATGGAACACAGGAAACTTCAGATTTTACTTTTGAGGATGAGAATCTGATGCAGATAAGAAATGGGCATCTTCAAAGCATTTAACACTTAAATGCCTTTGCCAGAACGTGTTATTAAAAGCCTTACTCGAGTTAAAACAAAAAACATGATTTAGAGGATGATGAAAAGATATTATAAATATATGTGTTGCCAAATTGAAGGCTAAAGGAGGGGAGGCAAGGATGTAGCCATTAAAACAGTTGTCAGAAATTAGATTTTCTTAGGTTTTTAAATGTCGTAACCATTATGTGGACACGGAACAGGTTTACACATACAGCACACCAGCTTTTTTTTTTTTTCTTCTTCCTCTCAAAAATGTTCTGTGGTCGGTATGCAAACTTATTTGTCTTATTTACTGTGGGCCACGTGGTTTTTATTTTGTTTTTCTGACCATTGTATTTGTTTCAAAGGATATGAAATAAAATGTATGACTATGGATATTTTATTTACGGTTTGTGTAATCTTGTAGACATTTTTGATGCAAAGATGTTAGTGATCGATGATATTGATGCCACAATCATTATTTAACAGCTGATTCTTCATTATAGAAGCTTCTATCTAAGGCTAAAAAACATTTTCAAAATTGGGTTTAACATTAAAACAGCATAACCTCACACACAAATACTGTAAAAGCGTAGACCTAAAATCTCATACTGTATCTAAACTGTAATGTGTAATTATATCAACAAAGTTGAAGTTACAAACTTGATTTGCATTTATTTAATTAGAATTCCCTTTTTTTTTTAATTATTTGTTTATAGCTCAGTATTTTGGGAAGGGTTAGTGTGGAAAAACAATGGAGGAAAAAGTGGTGACAAAGTATTGGATATTTGGTTTGAAAAGAAGTCCTGCCACTTATCAGTTATGTATACATTTTCATGGTCCAGCTTTAATTATCCTTTCATCACAGTCAGATATTTTATATAATTTATATCTAATGGTGTCATACAAATATACATTAAGAATTTACTCTCTAAACTATAATCTGTCTTTTCAATTAAAATGTATTCATATAAATTTGAATAGAAACATTCAAATTCCCCTATTGTTATATAGCGCCAACTTAAAACAGTCGTCAGCTCAAGGCACTTATAACAGCGGTCGGTTCCGTAAGTCGTTTGGCGCGCTAGAGTTGAGGCTTAGCTGTGAAACTTATGTTTTTCAGGGGTTTTGTCAGTTTTTATCGTTAAATCTGTTTCCCTGGGTCTTTTCCCGTGTATTATAAGTAAAATTTCTTTTGGTTGGTACCGGTAGTAGTTTTATTTTGTTGTATTTACCTGCGACACCTCAAAGGCCGGTCCGCGAAAATATTGTCGGACATAAAACGGTCCGTGGCGCAAAAAAGGTTGGGGACCGCTGACTTATAATGTATAATAAGGTAAAGACTAACATATTAGAAAGAAACTCCCAACAATCAGACAGTTCTTCATTAGCAGCACTTTGCAAAAGTGAAAGAAGAACTCCCTTTTGACAGGAAGACCTCAATTTGTGCAATCTGTGTAGAATTACAGATTTTCATCATTTCAAAACCTTCAAAGGATGAATCACATCCATTGAATCACAATCTGAATGGTTGCTGCCTTTAAGTTTTGAGCGTACATTTGCAGATTTCATGAAGGGCTGTTTTCCATTTTTACTGGAACAAGACTACTTAAAGAAAGGAGGCCAGTCTAACAGAGCACACATCTCATTGTGTAATTAGATGTAAACTAGCTCAAGGACAGCACTTTCTCCAGCCCCATTATCAACAGTAATGCTGTTTTTTATCGGACACTGCTGTGGTTGAATTTCCTCTTCTCTTCATGAAAACGTACACTCCCATTCAATGTGAATTAACCGGAAACAGCAGAGTTTCAGATTTACTAAGAGCATCTTACTACAACACAGTAATGAGTCAACAATCCGTTTGTTAGATGAGATGTTTAATAGGTTGGGTGGGACTTCTCTCAATGGAGATCTTACTTTACACATTTTTCTATATTAACAATATATTTACACTTTTACAAATGTTTGTTCCACATAATCTGTAATGCATTTTAATAATGATTCATATCAGAGCAATCTAATCAAACTATCTCAATGCATATTAAAAAGTTGAACACGAGAAGAAATATTTTGGTGTAGCAGTTTTCAGATTAAAGCGATGACTGAGCTGCTTATAGCAGGAGCCGGAGTACAACAGACACAAAATCAGTCTGTTTTCCTTCAGGTCTTCAGTGAGCTCCCCTTATCTTGTTTTCAAACATGAACTCTACAATTTCCAGCACACAGTAGAAGAGTCATGTTTTGTCACTATTTGAAATATTCTGTTTTAAATCAAAGAGCTGCCTGGATAGAGCATGCAGAATGCAGCATCTTGCCTGTAGTGAAATCACCAGAAAATGACCCATTCTATTATCATTTGGGTTCAACAGCTGCATCATATAGTTGCATTACGGAGCTACCAAGTTAAACACTGTTTAAGACCATTTTAGTTTTCTTGCAGTGCAGCATATTAACTTGTCATTGTGACATGCAGCTTGTCAGGTCAAAGCCCTACTATAGTGATTTTCTAATCACTTTGGACACCCACGGATAGAAATGCATGCCACTTCAATACCATGCTGCTCTCACAAAGCTATAATTTTTGCTACTGCAGAATCTCTGGATGCTTATCTTACAGTGAGAGTGGCTTCACAGGAACATGGTTTCCCATATCATGCCGTTAACTGGAGAAAAGCCAGGCAGATATTAAAGGCAGATTAAAGAAATACATCAGCATTTAATTTCTTGCTGTGAGCCAGATGAGATCATTACCACAGCCAAGAACCCCATAGATAGGCCTAACATTAAGATTGCAAATGGGAGAAGGAGGATCTATCAAAAAGACCCCTCTAAAACTCACTGACATATTACTTTGTTAACATTTAAACTCTCTAGGTGTAAAAATGTAAAGTCATTATGATACGGGGTCTAGAAGCAAAGTCTCTGAACACTGATACTAATCAGACAATGAATGAGTTTGACATTTTTAAGAATTGATGTTATCTAAATTAGCTTGCAGCCGTTTGTAGTCTTTATGCCAGCTGCAAGCTGGTTAGTTTAAGTTAGGTTGTAAATGGTTTGGCATATGGATTTATGTAACAATTTTTAAATCATGCTAAGCTAACTAACTAGGTTAGCTACTTGATTAGCTTAGCATAGGATATAAATCGAATTGTTATTTACTAGCAATCTTCTTTTTAGTCTTAGGCTAACCAACAGCTTAGCTTGTAATTTCAAATGTATTGGTATTTACAGTCCATTTAAAATATTTTTGGTGAGCTAAGCTAACTAACAGTTACTGATTAGCTTAACTTAGCATATAGGCGCTCTTCTAGTCTTGCTGACCACTTAAAGCTTTTTTACAGAGTGGTATAATGATCTCATCAGGCTCCTGTTAAAATATCTTACTGTTACTTTTAAATTAAAGCAAAACATTGAGGCATAAACACCTGATGATGCTTCATGTACATCCCTGCTATGAAATATTGTTCGGCGTGCCTTGAATATGAGAAGATAATATTATAGTCACATTTTCACTGCAGTCACATTAACTGGGATGCAAATCACATGGTACAAAACCTTCACAGCAGCACTTGGAAGGACATTTGATATATTTGTGCGTTACTGCTGTGAGATACTACAGACAAGTACCATAGCTACCATTATGCATTTATATTATGATATGTATCCAAACAACAGCAAAATGTGATTTGTTCATTAAAGCAGCCTTTGATGTCTTGTTCAGGCAAATCCCTGTAGCTGATTATACTAAGAGAACCTCCCTCTGGTAGCATATATTGACATTTTCTCTCTTCATTTATTAATGTTCACAGCTCCCTCCGTAACACACGTCACAGTGTATGAGAAAATACGTTATTGCACTCTCACCGACTCATCCAGAGATGTTGATGGAAGCTGTTAGCGAACAGAGATGTCTATGAAGCCCAAAGAAATAATGAATTATTATTCAAGATGTGCGACAGACTAATATGAGAATTTAAATTCAGGTCAAAGAAGCTAAACTGGCAATCGCAAGGCCTGGCACTGGAGAGATAGCGGGGGACACTTAAGTCACAAGTTTAATGAAGCAGTTCACAAAGGGGATGTCACTCTGATTCTGAGTGGATTGTAGATGCAGGAGGATGCTTTGGTGTGATTTATCTGAGTTCAGGCCCTCTTGATAATATGCACACATCTATCATGAAATCGAAAATCAGCTGCCTCTGAATCAAAATATGTGTCATGCTCATATCTCGAGGTTAAGGTTCAAGCTGTCAAGAAAGGCAGATAAAAATAAATAAATTCAGGCAGAGAGAGAATTTCTCTCGGGGGGATAAGCCTTTGAGTGCTACATCAGAAGCATTATTACTTGTGAAAATATAAGCACACTTCATTAGCTAAGGACTTCACTTATAAAACATTGCCTTGAGCATGCATAAAATGCAATGTTGGTGCTGGATGTTGTGGTGAGTGTCTTAGTAACTTAAGGAAATGGGAGAATTAAGAGAGCTTTTTGGAATACAATACCTAATGCACAGGCTGAGTGATGCACAGAGCAGAAGATGTTATTTGTCCATTGCTAATGATGACACATGGAAATCAAATATGTGCAGAAATTCTTAAATTATCCTTCTGTATTATTTGAGTTTTCCTATAAAGATTTCCATTTACAGTAATGTATCTATTCCTTTCCTGCAGACAGCCAGATGAAAAGATTGATTACTCTCATGTCTATACAGTTAATGGTGGTGGACAAAGTCTGTCTAATGGCTCAGTCACACTAGAGTAAAATATGATGGTGACTTACTTGCACCTGGGAAAAATTGGTTGTTGCCAGATGACTAGTTGTGGCAACCAACTGGTCACTCAGAGACTGAGCATCTAACACTTTCAGTCTCTGCAGTTACTCTCAGTTGCAAGACAATTGCACAGGTTGCCTGGTGGGAGGCAACCTGTCTCCAGAAAATCGGAGTCTGACTCAGAGTGACAGCAACTGCTCTCAGACAGGTTGACAAGGGTTTGAAAATATTATTGCCAACATGATGCAATCAATCTGAGTTTGTCTGTGCTGATGAGTGCAACTTGTCTGCCATGTCTCTTTGCATTAGTCATCTCAACTCAACTAGTTGCCAACTGGGTGGTTTCTGGTTATATTCCTTAGAAAAGCAAGGTTGATAAGCACCTACGTCACTTTACAGTTATGCTGCTGTCCTATAGTAACTACATTACTAATTGTGGAGGAACTTCTCTTTCAAATCTACAAGATTCTGGTTGGACTCTGAGTGCAAGTAGTTAATGTGATTTTTCTGTATATGCAGATGGCAACAGATTTGCAAATTTTCACCAATTTATTTAATCGTTGGAATTACCACAACAGGTCGCATGTAGTTGCCAATTTGGACCCATTCAATAGCTAACTGATAGCAGAGTTGCTCTTATTGCCTGAAGACAGCAACTGCGAATGATCACAGACTCAGTTCCGTCTTTGAAGCAACTGTTTCAATGGCAACAAGATCGCAGGTTTATAGCACAGTTAAAATAATTTTGGTCATTTATGGTCTCCAATCACTTTTCCCCTAATAATCTAGTAACTTCCAGCTTGTGTTCTGTGTCAAAAACCAAAGAGTAAAATCAACACCTTGGTTTTAATGACTCCCTTTATCAGGAAGGAAGTCACTACCCTTAGTTAGAAAGTCGTTTCACACATATTGACCTACAAAGACAATAAATGTCATTTTTGCAGTTCTGTTTATGAATATATTACACAAACAGAGATTTGGTTATCTTGACACTGAGCCAGGCCAGCTACCCTTTGATTTCCAGTCAGGCTAAATTATGCCAGATGAGGCTTCATAAAGTATGTCTCTAAAGACATGTTAGTGGTATCAATCTTCTCATGTAACTCTCAAAAAGTAATCAAACAGATGCATTTCCCAAAATATCTAACAACCTTTTTATTTATCTTCCTTTTTATATTTTCCATTAGCTCAGAAGCTGTTGTGCTATTGTTGACTTTCCAAAAAGTAATGTAAAGCTAGTATAATTTTTGCTTCTTCTTTGTGGACAGAGATGATTTCAGACTTAGCCATCCATTATTTTGTCTCTACTAGCCAGACTTTGGATGTGCTCTGGTTTGACTGTCTGAAAGCCAACATCTCCTCTGATTTTAGGAAAGGGCTAAACAAGGCTGCACCACAGCTGAACCAGCAGGGTTTTACATCCTGCAGGGCTACAAACAGCAACCTGTAAAACAGATATTGATTTCAATAAAGCAATCTTTTTTTAAGTATGTTGATTAATAATTTCACTTTAGGCTAAACAGGTGAAACTGAATTTTGTTATATGACTGGAAGAAAACAACTATTTCTACTTGCTCTTTAACAAGTGGAATAATAACTTTTCCAGGTGTGCTCAGATTAAAGAAGAAAACACTTTAAATTCAACTGCTGTTTCAGATTTTACTGCTCTTTGGCTCTGAAGTCAGAGAAGATGTCTGCCAAAACAGACCACAAGCCACAGCCAGCTGGTAGAGACAGGTCACATTATTCATCTTTTTTGGCAACCGTGTTCTGTTGTCCATCCTGTGGCGAAACCCTCTGCAGTACCAACAAACCAGAGAAGGTCAGAGAGATCCCAACCCACCACAATGTTATCTGGGCTTCCCCAAAGATCAGCTGGCCCAGGAAAGCCTGCAAAGAAAAAAACATCATGCCTGTTTTTAGAAACAAATTGCCAATAAAGGTGCCCTAATGGCCAATATCCCTGCTGAGCTTAACAATGAAGAGCCATAAATCACAGTGACAAGTTATTTCTGAATACAGTCTAGCCTATTTTCTAAAATAAATCAGGTTACATAAGAAGGAAGGACGTTAAGGTCAACGTGAAAATATTTTCACCCTCTACTGTCTGATGTAAAGGATTTCACTCAGAGGACATGAAGTAAGAGCTATAAGAGACAGATCGTCACTTACGGAAGATATGAAGTTGGAGGCAGTGGTGGTCACAGTGGTTCGGGTGGAGGACGAGGAATACCTGAGTGCTTTGGCAAGGAAGGTCCACATCACAGCATTGCAGGTGAAAAGCAGGCCGCCACACAGCAGCCTCAGAGGGATATGAAGCTGAAAGACGAGAGAAGAAACTTATTAAAGATGCTCTTGACAAATTTTTCTCCCCCACTGAAGGGAGGAAGTATCTAATCTGCACAGTTTTTTTTGTTTGTGTGTTTCTCTGTTTGTTAGTGGTCTAGTGTCCACAGTTTTCAAGATATCATTTTCAAAATTAATGTGATGGTAAATACTCATAACTGATTTCATTTTTGTGAAAATTGGGTCAAGGTCACACCAAATGTGAAATTAAAATTTTATATTACCCACATTTTCTTTTTGATCATCTTTAAATATCACAACAATGTACTAGGTATTGGGCAGCATGGATACCTAGTTTGGCTAACATTTGACTTTCACCTTCATGGTTAGCACCCACGGTCAAAGTTAACCTTGTAAAAAAAATTTCAAGCAACCACATCGAGTAATATGCTATATGAAAGGCGACGGAGAGAGCTGCACAACACACTTTTTCCAATACAAAGTCCAACAACGTCACATTGATGCCATAACGGGTTGATGTCATCATATTGGAATAAAAACGTCATAAAACATCAAAGTTCTTTGTACAGCCCATGCCCTTCGGGGGAAGTTGCACTCTCTGAGAGCTCCAACAATGAGAGAGACCCCTAGCTCTTTCCAGACAGTGGGAAAGAAAAACTCCCTTTTAACAGAAAGAAACGTCCAGCAGTATCATGCTCATAGAGGGGCCAGTGGCCAAAGGTAGTCACTTAGTTCTAACATTTACTTTCCAAAGCTTCACAGTGCATTGTTCCTGTTTGTTTTTCTCTATGTTTCCACGTCCTGTAGTCTGACGTGAGGCAGGCAAATCTCGTGGTGCAAAGTAACAGCCTTTACATACGCTTTGCATCCACCTGCAATCCTAATTTGCAATTCTGTCAATTCATTTGTGCCTTAAATCACGTATCGGGGGGGTCGCTGCTTTCCACGTTTCTACAGTTTAAGGCTTCAGACAGCCGCCTGCAGATGTTTCTGACATCACTGTGTGACGTATGTAGGCAGCTTGAAGGTCATTCACAGAAAAACTTGACATCCTCACCATCAGATACCAGCCGTTCAGCTCATTATCTACACGCAGAGATAATTTTTACGCTTATAGAATAAAACAACGCCTAAATACAAGTAACTGTAGTGGTGTGCTTCGGGGGCGCGGGTACGCCACGAGCGCGCCGCTGCCTGCGCGGGCTCCCCCAGTGTGATGCCGCAGATGGTGCTGATGCTGAGGGAGGCGGTGAGGAGAGGCGGGCGGGGATAACCCCCCTAACTTCCCTCGTGAGAAATCACCCCGCTCGCAGGCGAGCATTATTATTCACCCTCACTGTGTTAATAATTAAAGCGAGTTTAACTGCGGCAATGCCTCACCCGGTCACAGGCGGTAGTTTCGTCCGCCTGTCTGAATTTCCGCTGTTCTCCCCATGTCCGGAGTCCGGTTTCACAGACACCCTTCAGGTAGTCGGCTCCCAGCGACAGTTTGGCCGAGGACGACGCCACGGCCCCGAGGAAACCCGCCAGCAGTGCATAGAAAACTCCCGGGAACATGGTAGTGGTGATGATGGTGATGATAGGCGAGGGACATTATTTTCTAATCCATCTTTTTACATGTCTGCTGCTGAAGCTGGTCGGCGCTGAGCTACGTGCATGCTTGTATGACTGTCACTGAGCACGTTTTCCTGCACTTTCCATCGACAGCCGTCCGGTGGCAGTCACACAACTCATGGCCGTGGCTCTCCGAGGCATTCTGGGAATTGCAGTTCCGTAATATTAGTTCCGATATTTTAGTTTCGTATTATCTATTTTTTATATTTATATCATTTTGACTCTTAGTTTTTAAGTCAGTCTAGCTTCAGTTAGTTTCCATGGTGTTTTTTTTAGTTAATTTATTATTATTATTATTTTCAGAGTTGGTTTTAGTCTTTTTAATTGTTATTTAACATGTTGTATATTATAGAGACAAGATTTCGGACAATCAGTAAAGGAATTACAACAAAAACACAACTTTTTGGAAGCAGTGGACTCTCAGTCTTGTAGGGATGCAAAGTCTCCATAAACATGTTCATTTAAATCCCCATCAGGCAAGTTGTAATACCATTTTTTATACCAAACCAACAAATATTTAAAGTAAGGCTATTTCCTTTATATTATTTTTCATTTTATTTTAGTTAAGAGAAGTGACAATTACAGGTAAAGTCACACTTTTGTATAAATCACATAATATATCCCACATTAGTGAATACATGCCTTAAGTTTTTTATTAAAACATTGTGAGGTTAAGAAGAGTTTGAACTGAAGTCCCTTCACATTATTTTGTACTATAAATCCTGGGTGGAGCAGAGGGCAGTCAATACTAATGTAATGTTCTTGAGTGTGGGTGGAGAGCACTGACTCCACTTGATCCAGGGACAAACCTTGGTTTGCTTTTAGCATACTGATGAGCTGCAGTATAAAGGTTCATTACATTAACCCACACAGGGTATAAGTTAAGTGAGTGAGAGGCGTATGAATGTGTGTTGGTCACTTATGGTCCTTCGGTGGTCCTTATGGAGAGAGGACCCTGTAAGAGAGGTGGAACCAGAGCAAGACTAAATGAGTCTCCTAATTAGAGGCAGAAAATTGAGCAACAGCTCAGATCCATGGGTCTGTAATGAGAGTATTAATCAGAGTGTTGTAATAGAGACAAGAGTCATCAGACAGATGTCCGTCTCTTCATCGGACTCTGCAGCTGAACATCTGGTTGTAGATGGATGAGAGACCATTCAGTCAGCATTGCATTTGGCTATTAATTTGGCTTTTCATGTGGAGCAGCATGAATCAGTGCTTCATACACCAGTGTAGTGAACCCAGCATAGCGCACACTGCCTGGCCTTTATAGTAAAACACAAGACTGTGCATGGGAAATAGAAAGAACACAAACAGAGATGCATAAACTCGCCGTAATTACTTTACTTTCAAATGTAGGTGAATACATTTGAACGTGTGATGTCTGCTCTTACAACTGATTGACTTATTGCAAAGAAGGGAGACATGACCTTTTCAAAAAAGAAAAAAAAAGTCAAAATTTGAATAAATACTGATCTTTTGGTAAAATGGTACAACAGATTGACACTGTTATTCAAAAATTGATTATATCAGTGAAGATAATTCAGGTTGCCTTGGAACTGTTCGCAGCTGAGTGTGAAGTGGTGGGAATGAGAATCAGCACCTCCAAATCTGAGGCTATGGTCCTCAGCCGAAAAAGGGTGGAGTGCCCACTCCGGGTCAGGGACGAGTTCCTGACCCAAATGGAGGAGTTCAAGTATCTCGGGGTCTTGTTCACAAGTAATGGGAGGAGGGAGCAGGAGCTCGACAGACGGGTTGGTGCAGCGGCTGCAGTGATGCGGACGCTGTACCGGTCTGTTGTGGTGAAGAGAGAGCTGAGTGTAAAAGCGAAGCTCTCAATTTACCGGTCGATCTA